TGCTATTAAAGGTACAAAATAAAACATGTTTCTTTGAAGTTCAAGGGAAAGTGAAAGAAAGCATAAATAAATAAGTGATATTAAAGACACTACCTTCAGCAAAAATGATGGCTGCATCTTAAGAGTTGGCCTATCTTTGAAGAGTAAAGTCAAAAAAGGAATCACAGGGGTATGCATTTCTCTGATTTTCTAACAGAGAAAATTAACAACAAAGAATGTTACTTTTTTTGGAGAAGGAGAATCTATGAACACATGAAACACCAAATTAGAATTCCTGCAAGTGACTTGCCTGGCAGAAGGAAAGATCTTGATAAGCATAGCTCAAGGCTGTGACAGATGGTAAACAGACTTCATTAAGGGTAAGAAATATGCAACAAAAGATCAGACTGCTTCAGTTTGAGCAGGTAACTTGGAACAGACTGGACTGATGGTAAGGCCAACAATAACATCAACCCAAAAATCTAATCTACTTAATAATTTACATTTCATTCCATTACTTATAGGGCACAAGAGAAATAGGAGTGCTGAAAGAGTGAGTCTTTCTCCATCTGCAGCATGGAGAAAAGCATTTCTAGACTCAGATGAGTCAAATAGCCCACATTCCACAGGTAGCCACAAAGTAGATGAGTAGCAGCAGAAGTCTCTTTGAGAAAGGGAGGAAGTTTTGATATTAAAATTCTGCATCCTTCATCCCACCTTACCCTCAGCTGGGGAAACTGAAACTGGAGACACAGGGCCTGGAGGATAAGTCATAGGATAACCATTTCTGGGTGTGTCAAAATGAAAGCCATTCCCTGTGAGAAGGTGACAAGCATTTCAGCATGGCAAATATTCCCAATTTTTTTTTGGGGGGGATTTTTGCAGTTTTGGCCTCACAGATGAGAAGAAACTTCTTAGTCTCCCAGATGCCCTCTCATTCCACTTTTAAAAGTATGGTGAAAGGATCACATTGGTGCTTTATTTTGTAGAGGCACCTCTTAAAGAGGTGGCAAGATATAATTCAAATCTCTCTAATCAAAAAGGCAAAAAGGCAGTCCTGAAAGAAGGCATGAACAAATGACAATAACTTAGTTGGCTGTTGAGAAAAGCTGAAATAGTTCAAGGTAACATCTGTCAAATGTTTTGAGAATAAGAGAAGACTGTGGCAAGTGCAGTTATCATAAGGAGTAAAGACCCCAGAAACATGAGCAATAAGGTCCACATAAACCCAGTGTAGCAGGACAACCACTTACAAGAAGGAATTTTAGAGCATTTTCCTAGTGGAGCAGGAGATATAATACATTCCTTTTGCCCTCTCTTAGATTTACAGGCTCAGAGTAAATAATTGCTTTTTTTCCAGAATGACAAAATGAGCTTTAAAATGCAATTAAGTATATCCTATTGCATAAAAATGTGCCACAGACTCTCTTGGTAAAGAAATGCATCTCAAAATCAACACTGAAACATTTACATTTGTTAGAGTACAGCAGGGTGTTAGGCTAGCTTGCCTTCCCTCCCACCCTTATGAAATCAAAGATTTGCTCCCAGATCTCATGTGCCAAAATTTGTTCTCCCCAGAATTCATTGCTTTACAGGCTCTAAAGGAAGTGTTTTGATTGCGTTTCATTAATTTCCACCCATCAGCATCTTCCAAATTCCATCAGTACTGACAGAAAATTTCAGATTTTACCTTGTGAACACCTATAGGAAAATTTATTTAATATTTTATTAATTTTATTTTAACTTTTTTATTTATTTTGGTTTAGAATTTAATGATTTGTGCCTCAAGCTCTCTATGGCTTTGGCTAAATCTAGGTCTGAAAACATATTAGGACTGTTCAACGGATAGTACAGTGGAAGATTTTTATCACCTTCTTTTTGTGCAGAACAGCTACTACTGAATTTTGAGTGGAAAATTAAAAATACTGGTTAGTGTTAGTGCCACATGTTCATCTCTAATCTATTTGTGATGTGAATCAAGTTTTCAATTTATAACAATTTAATGCTTAGTGCAAAGAGACTCTGGCTCTGGCTTCACCCTAGTGAAGCAAATTAATCCCCGATAAAATACTACTAAATTTAACTGGATTTCAGTGCAGTAATCAGGTATCTCTTTGATATAAATTGTGTTTAAACAAAGTTACTCAGGAATGCATTTCTCAGCTTTGATTAGTGTGCTAGTATGATTATTTCAGATGTCTGGTGAGCCATGAGGACATCAGGAAGAATTCTGGATCTTCTAGTGATTATGACTTGAAGGAGTACTAATGAAATAGAAGGAAAAAAGTGTAGGTATGCAGCTTTGTTTCTTAATGTCAAAATGGCAAACTTTGCCCAATTATTTTATAAAACAGCCTGAACTCAAGGACTCAAACATGAAGATGCCTGCCATTTGCCAAGTTAAAAATCATTAAACATATAGTGTATATAAACAAAAGTTTATAAAAGTGTTGTATTATATAGTATACAGATGACATGATATCCTTTAGCATTTTTTTACTGCCTTAGTGCAAGTAGGTACATACTGATGGCATTCCCTCATGTTATGAAGTTAAAATGTGCAATTAATGCAGGAATCAATTAGGATGCCACACAGGAAGATGAGGTTACCTTAATGCTCAAGATTAAGAGAAGCGAGCTTTAATTCAGCAGCAATTGATGTGCAATTGATATACCCCAGAATTAGTAAAAGTTATGTCTATTATCATTCAGTACTCTCAGCTGGACAGGACAAGCTGAATCATACAATCTTAGAATCACAGAACTGTTTGGGTTAGACAGGACCTTTAAAGGTCACCCTGTTCAACTCCCTGCGATGGGCAGGGACATCTTCAACTAATGAGGTTGCTCAGAGCCCTATCCAGCCTGACTTTGAATATTCCCAGGAATGGGACACCTACCACCACTCTGGGCAATCTGTTCCATGTCTCACCACTCCCATAATAAAAAAAATTATTTCTTGTATCTGTTGTTCCAACCAATGATCTCTTTTTGTACTGTAACAGATCCTGCTAAAAGGCTTGTCCTCAACCTTCTTACAAGGCCTTCTTTAAGTATTGAAAGGTTGCAATAAGGTCCCCCAAAAGCCCAGTAGAAATATGAGAATACTTTCTGACAAAGGATGATTGTGAGACACTAACCTAATATGCCTGTGAATACATGTGATTCTAGGAGACTGCAGACAAATAATTTCCAGCAGCTGTACCGTTGTACAAAGCTCTCACAAGGCAGCACTTAAAAGCCTGCATATAAATCTGTATGGAGACATTATGAAAAGGACATTCACATGGTACCACATGGAGATATCTAAAGTCCTGGGGGAAGAAGAAAATGCCTTCTAAGAGATGTCTCAGAGAGCTTGGATAGATGATCCTATTTATCAAAACTGACACAAGAGCATGGTGGTAGTTTATGAAATCACTCCATGGAGCCCAGTCAAGGGTGACCATGCTAGTCAGGGGCTGCAGCACATGATATATGAGGAAAGACTGAAGAAACAGGTTTTACTCAGTCTGGAGAAGAGAAGTCTTAGGGGAGACTTTAATTCAGCCTACAGCTGCCTGATGAAAGGACAAAGGACAGAGCCTGACTCTTCTAAAGGATGCACAGCAATACAATCAAAGGCAATGGATATTGTTGGAACATGGAAAATTCTGATTAGACCTAAAGAATTTTTTTATTTTTTAGTCATAAATACTTTCAAATATTGGAACTAGTGCCCAGAGAAATTGTGGGACATCTATGCTTGGAGGGTGCCCAATAAACCCTTTAAACAGCCCTGAGCAACCTGATCAGATTAGACCTGAGCTGGGGTTGAACTAGGTGAACTATAGAGAACCATTTAGATTTACAACCCAAATTATTCTATGATTCTATGAAAATGCATTAAAAAGCAGAGGATACATCTCTCCCTCCCTCCCCACCACCCCCCCACTTGTTAAACACAAAAAAAACCCCAAAAACAAAACCAAAACTAAACAAACAGGAGAAAACAAGTAGGAAATAACAAACAAACAAAAAGAGAGAGAGCAGTGACCATAGTTAACTTTAAGGAGCAAAATGAACATGTTTACAATCAGAAAAGTTCTTGAACATTAAGAAGAACAAAAATCTACTTACCTTTGAAATAAAATTAGATCAATTGAAAAGAAGTGGAATGAAAAGAAATGGAATGAAAAGAACTGGACTAAAAATGCTTAAAGTGACATATTCCTACCTATAATCAATGCTTAGTTGTGAGAATCTAAATTTATTTTTGAAACTTATTATTTCTAAATCACTGTTGCCATTTTTATAAACTCAGAAAACCATCAAGGAATAGATACCAATGCAACAGCTCAGCTTGGTTTTTTCCCCCAGTAGTATTTGCATCCCATAGTATTTGCAGCACAAGAACAGCACTCACAGCCCCACTCCTTGGGCTTCCAGAACGAGAGCACTGAGTGTGAGCAGCACACAGGACAAGCTGCTGTCACCCACCAACAGTGTATGTCAGCCCGCAGCCTACCTCTGAGTTACCCTCCAAAGTGGGTACATGCACTAAGTGAATTGGTCTCAGAAATCAGATTTTTCTGATACAGACAACAGATTAAGCTTCTGCTACTGTGTTTTTGAAGATGTTTCTTGCAGTCAGAAGGAAAGGCATGTTTGAAAGACTTTGTTTTATGAAGTGCAAGAAAGTTTCTTTTGGTTTAGTCATTTTAGTTCAGCACAGAAACCTTCACATGTGCTTCAAGTGAAAGGCTAAATTTTCAAAACAAGAGCAGTGATACCCTTTACACGTGGTGTTATGAGAAACAGGTGAAAGTTACCTACATCATTTTGGAGAATGGAGTCTGCTGCTCCTTGGTCACTGAGAAGTTCACCAGAAGCTCTTGTGAAAGCCTATTTGCCAGCCAGAACTGAGAGCTGTTGCTTTGGCTGCCTCTCGAATACAAGAGTACAAAATGTTTCCCAGAGAGGTTCAGATGGAAGAGATTATTCACAAATTGCCTTTGACATCACTCAAGAGAAGAACTGTCTCTAGCTGGAAATATTTCAGAGATATTTATTGTATTCTGAAAATTTCATTTTATTTCTAACTTATTTACAGTTAAACATTCAGAATCATAAAATATGAAGTATAAAATATTTAACAAAATAGATGCAGTCCGTGTTGTTCAGGTGCACCATAAATATATGATGAAACAGTAAACAGCATAGGAATTTTCTGATGGTCCTCTCTGTCGTTTACCAGGGAAAAGGGTATGTAGACCTGCCTCTTAACATTCTGGTCTGACCATTATGGCATCAATCTTTCTTTTCAGAGAGAACACCACCACCACTCTGGTTTCTGTGTCCTGAGTCCTCTACAGTTACCTTCACTGTCTAAAATGCCAACACTAAAGTTCAATACATCAGATCCCCTCTAAAGTTGGTATATTCATATATTCAATACATTTTTTTAAAATACAGAATTTCCTAGAAAAGAAGAATCAGGTAATTCAGTCCATATGAACAAAAGTCATTTATTATATATATTTTTTCTAGTAAGTTATAATAGTCTCTTGGATTTTAAATGTCTTTTTGCTATTTTCAATGCTTAAAAATTATAATTTTAAAACATTAAATATTGTGTTATATACATTATGATTTAATTAATCATTCTAAACATGGAGAATTCTCCAAGTGAAAACTTGGATGAAACAAAAAACAATTTCATTGACATAACAGGCTTTAGAAGTTCACTTCATACAACCATAAATTTGACTATATGAAAAATAGCCAAACATCAATTTGCTCCTATATGGGACTTTTTTCTATTTGTTTTTCTGATCTTGGGGAAAGGGGTTTTTGGCTGTTGTTTTTGTATAAACTGAAGGACAGATCTAGTCATCACTTTTGTCAATGTTCAGTATTTTAACTTTTTTTAATCTCATACCTATTTTATATAAAGTAACAAAATATACAGAGAAAGCTGAGTTTGTTACATTAGTTCATACACATACAGTAAATAAAATTTTTTAATGTATGGCTTTGCAAAGGTAGATTATGAAGTGACTTTTGTATTTTATTTGTTTAAAAGCATTTTAAGAGAACGTGTTAGTGTGCTTACAATAGCGGCCATGGTATTTGGATGTCGAGCCAAGAGTTTAATGCTAGGATCACCGGAGGTCTTGCCTGACACTGCTTCTGCAGCCCTCAGAAGACAAATGTAGTTTATCACAACCTCGTCTATCTTAGCTATAATTTCCTGCTGCTGTGTTTCAGAGTTCATGACTTTAACTAAACGCATGCAGGCTTCTGTTAAGCAACAGAGTACTTGAAAGCTGGAAGTCATAGCTAAAAGCATTTCCTCAGGGCTTTTATCAGCCATGGCCATTTTCCTGCAGGCACTTCCCAACTGTCTCGATTCCAAAGATAACAGTTGTTTGTACTTAGAAAGTTTAAGGTCATATGTTTCTGGATGTAAATCTTCTCTCTTGCCCATACTTGCTCGGACCAGTGAGAGTAGCTCATTGGCATCCTTTTGTGCTGCAATAAATCCATCAGGCATTGCATATGTCTTCTCTTTCATCACATTTATTTGTGTGATTCGTGCATCGAAGGCTACATCATTGAGATTCACATCAATTTGGCCACCTTGAGTGTCAGCACTGCTCTTCTCATGCTCATTGACTGCATCACGTGGGGGCTCAGCAGCTTTCGGGGACTCCACGACTTTCTGCTCGTTGTCACCGGACGACTGAGCAAGTGGTTCTGCAAGCTCACACAGGGTCTGTGGTTCGAAGAGATGTGAGAGCTGATGGCTGTCTCGGTCATCTTCCTCCTCATTGTCATCATTTCCTCTGCTGAGAAAGCAATAGCTAAAGGGGCCCCGACACCTCCAGGTGCTGCTGGTCAGCTTTCGCAAGGGCAGTGTTCGACACTGCTTGGAGTCCTTCTGACTGGTGCCTGTGCCTGAACACCTCTTACTGTCCTTCCTATCAGTGCTGACGTACACACAACTCTGAGAGTAACTTTTTGACAGCTTTTTACCCAGAGAAAATTCCACCCTTCTCTCCGATTTGGATTCATCCTTTTGGGTGGTGTCCAGGCATTTCAAGCTGGCTGTGGCTGCCTTCTTCTCAAACAGCATCTCAGTGCCTGCAGATCCTCTAATGCTGCTGCTGCTGCTGCTGCGTCTCAGCATTTTCTTGTTCTGCGGCATCCTGAGGCTTCCTCCTATCATGTCATATGGCCATAAACTAACTGTTGCCCCACAAGCCTGATTTACTTTGGGAATGTCACAAGAGTCTTCATTTTGACTTGGCACCTTTGATTCTGATAGCATGGATGATAGCATGATGGAGTCAGCTAGAGGCTGTCTAGGAAAAGCTGTAGGCATGCCTCCTTGTCTTCCCTTTTCAGGCTCTGTGAAAGCTACACTAGGGGTAGTAGAAGAGCAGACAGAATAATTAAGCATCACCCTGATAATATTCATAGGCTGAACTTTTAAACATCTTCTAACACTCAGTACAAATGGTTTTCTGGTATTTCCCAATGGTTTCTATTCCTCAAAATATTCCATCAAGAATTCATTACAAGTCTTTCCTATTTAACTAAAATGCCTTTTACAACCTGTCAACAAATTATAATTTATGAATAAGTAATTGTTCATTTCACTACAGGAGACTTAATTAAGAAAAGGAATAGCAAATTATGTACAAAACATCTTCAATCTCCCCTAATATATGGATTGCTTGTTTTCTATTAAATAATTTGATGAATAATTTCAGATTAAAATACTTTCTTTAGCTACACCTGAAAGAGTATGGAAAGATGTGTTCATGGCAATTTTGGTTTGGTTTTGTGGCAGTTTTTGTCAGAGAAAGATTATTCTCATTCTAAATCTTAGTCTGTTCCACTTTTGGATTTTCATGCGTTCACACACTACTGTACTGCTACTTGTGGGTTGCAATCCAAGAAGAGGAAAACATTTAAAATCCAACTGAAAGAATTTCAATGCTGTCTCTGAAAACTGCATTTTTTGTAACTTTAAAGAAACACCTACTGTAAGATTATGAAGTAAATTCATGCTTAATAAGGTAGTTACATTTTCTTATTCTTAACATCTAGAGCTTTTTATCCATATTGGCATGTTTTTGACAACCTGCTAAAATAGACTATAAGATACCTAAGAAATGAATCAAAGGTTTTCCTCCCCTACATTAATATAACTTCTGAAGTAATTTCACAATCTAACAGGTATCTGGGAGTCAAGTGACTTTGGATTTTGGAGAGGCTTCCAAAGAGGCCTCTCCGTCAGTGTCCCTCCAAATATTATAACTGCAATGAGAAGTTTTTGAAAAAGTTGATCTTTGTATGCAGCTCATCAGAATGAGCTGTAAAAGTAAAATGAACAAATAAATTGAAGGTCTAAATCTCACTGTCTGCTATAGCCTGATGATGTAGTTCCAGATAAAGATAATAGAAATGTCTTACCTAGACCTCAACATGAACTTGTAGCTTTAAGAATAAACAGAAGAAACACTCTATTACTGCTGTACCTGTAGTTTCTTTAATCTTGGGGATCCGATGACATCCTTCTCTCAAAGTGCCGAAAAGTGGTTCAGCATTGATTGCTGAATGCACAACAGGCACCGTCATTCTGTGACACACGGCTTCAGGCTGCTGGTGCAGGTCCTTGAATGTCGTTCCATGGTTTGGAAGTATGGCAGCTCTTTCATCTGCTGGAACATAGGCAATGCCCTTCATTGATGGATCAGAGATGATGTGTTTACCATCAGAGGTACAAAGAGGGGATTCAACTGGGGTAGCACACGTGCTACTGCCTGTGCTGCATCCTGCATCCACTGAAGAGCACTGAGAGCTCTGCAGAGAAAAATGGCCTTCACTTTGCAGAGATGACATGCGCTTAGCCAAGTGATACTCACAAAGTCTAGCCACACTCTGCTCAGCTTCTGGAAGCTTTGAAGGATGGTCATCTGCAGATAAATCAGTATCTTCTGCATCATTTAGGTCTTTGGCTGAAGACATGGGAGTCATGTCTGACAAGAAATTTTCACCTTGGCTAAGCCCTGAGGTGTCATCCTGATCTACCTCAGGATGCACTTCACCCTTACAGTCCGTTTCTGTTTTACCAAGTACAGGAACTCTTGGAAAAGTCTTCCCATTAACTGTTTCTGGGCTTGGCTTATCTGCTGCCCCATCATCAGCAGCATACCATCTTTGGCGAAAGGCAGTTCTCTCCACATTAAAAGTGCTTAGGCGCTGGCTATCTCTTGCTGAAAGAGTTCCAAATTTAGCTTTTAGATCTTCATCAGACTCTGCTTTTTTATTTCCCTGTTGCTTTTTCACAGTAGCATTGCCATCAGAGGATGCTTTTACTTCACTATCTGTCATCTTATTTTTCCTTTTACTAGTGCAAGAATATACCAAGGATCCCATGTGCAATTTGCTAAAATAATCAGTGACAGATTTTGTTTCCATGGTCTCTGGCTCCATTTCCATGTTATCGGAATGAAGAATCTGCTTTGAAGGCACAACTTTTGACTGTAGCTCTGCATCCTGACCACCAGCCAAAGGCTGTGAGGGCTTCATGCCTGGCCCTCCAGCCTGATTCTTAGCAATAGGAAATTCAGTCTGCTCTTCCACAAGTGGTTGGTAGCCTTCACTTGTGGTCAAAAACATACGTGCAGTGTTTTCCGACTGTTTCTGTGCTGTGGCTAGTTCAGAGCTTTCAGTCATTTCAGAGGAATTTGTTTCATTGCCAGAATCTGAAGATGACTCAGGGCTATATGCTCGCAGGATAGCTACACCTGCAAGCCACAAAAAATAAGAGTCAATTAAATGACAGCAGCTGAGGCACCTGGATAAGTGACAAGCAAAAGGAGGTGTATTAGAGACAAAAATATTCTTTGTAAGAATATTCTGACTTTATTGCACAGTTCCCGAGACAGGTAGTTTAGTAACAGTGGTGGCTCCATTAAATATGAAATACGATGTATGAAAAATGATGGCAAAAAAATAAAAGGAAAACTAAAAAAAACCAAACCAACCCTCATGAAATGGAGTACTTCCAAACCTAAATGGATGAGATGAAATGATTTTCAATGAATAAATGTAACTATGGTGAAAGAACCTGAATTGTCATTCGTCTGCTGTTCCTCTGAAGCAGCCAAAGCTTCTAGTGCTTGAAGAGTAGAGACTACAGCATCATCTAGCCCCTTCTCACACTTCCCCTCTGTATTAGTAGGGACAGCATCGATAAGCGACACTGGAATGTCATCATTGCCTAGATTACTGTCTTGCTCCTTGTTGTCTCTAGGCTGTGTTGCTTGATTCTGAGAGTCTTCCTCATCAGAACTGTCCCTGAAACCAGGTGGAGGAGCAGCAATGGCCATGTTTAAGGTATGCAAAAGGAAATCATCTTCATTGTCATCACCTTCTGGAGGTGGAAGTGAAGTCAAATCAATAATGTCATCACTAGAACCAGAAAGGCTGAGAAGAGCAGGCCTATTGATTTCTCCTACCATAATATCTTCTTCACAGCTCACTTCATCTTCATCTTCGGCATCATCTGTGTTTTCTGCATAACAGATATCATGCAGCAAAGGCTCTTCTATCCCTTCTGCAGCTCCAAATATTTTACCATCGCTTATAGTTGCGTAAACAGAGTTTGCAGCAAACTGAATGCTTTCAGCATCTGGTGACAACTCCAGGCCTTTAATGTCATTGGCATTACTAAGGTAAATGGCTCTTTGTTTTTCTAATACTTCTGGACTTTCATCCAAAAGCCTTTCATAGCCAAGAGTCTGGGGACTGATACCATCCAAGTTGGGATCTCCAAATATAAAAGAAACTTTTGCTCCCCTGGGAGAATCCTGTGCTTTCTTGCTAGGTTCCAAACCTGAGAGTGACAACAGTGAAGGCTGGTTAAAATTTCTGCTTTCTTCTGTTTCAGCAGGGTCATTTTGCTTGGCCAGATGCTGATCAAATCCACCTGAATTATAAGTATTTTCTATGTACAGATGTCTGTGTTCTTTTTGACATAACAGACTTTCAGAAACATCTATAGTCTTCTGCTTTGGATCAACAAAGGACATTTCAGCCTCCTGATCTCCTTCAGCCAGGAAAGTGGTAGTTTTTGGTATACAGTTCCACTCAGAAGCAAGGATATTATGCTTCCCTCTATTTTCAGGTCCTATAGCAAGGTGAAATAAAATCAACATTGTGAAATCAAAGAACGAAGTCAAGTAATTTGTAAACAATTTTTTGATGCTAAGTATTAAACACTGAATAGGATAGCTGAGTCATCAAATACTTCAGAACAGTGTTTTCAAATTCACTTCTGTTCTAAGTTAAATACCTGTTGACTTAATGACCTAAAGTTTAACTGGTGCTTCTGTGCCATAAAACAAATCTAAACCTCAATTAGGTACAAATGCTATTCCAGGCATAGTAATACAAAAGCAGCTGGTTTCTACAACACCATATGTATTCTGACAAAAGATATATGCATATAAAATAATAACACTCACAGGAAGTGTGCATCTGTCTACTGGAATATTAAGGAAATTTGATACATGGTTTATTTTACCATGGAGATGCTACCATAGGCTGGGTATTGGAATACTATAAAGCTGAATTGAATACTGTGGTGCTAGATCTGAGCCAGCAATCAGATGTCATTTGACACAGCTTTCTATTTATCTGGAGGTGCTCTGGCTTAAGTTAGTTTCTGCTTTATACACTGGACTGCAGGTAACATACTGTGAGATAAATACCTGTTTCTCGGCTCCCTGCATTTTTCTTGTTGGCCATGTTAAATATTGAACGCCTTGAGTCAACCAGCAGTCTGTAGTACCCAGCTGTTAGGCAAGCAAGATTCATTGCATCTGATGACTCCATCAGAAGAGTAATAGGCTAAGAAGAATACAATCAAGTTAAGGCTGTTCCTCCTCAATTTGTTTGCCTGTCGACAGTACTATTACATCAGAGCAAAAGTAACTACATCACAAACACCTCATTGAAAAATACACATGAGAGAATTTATTTTCCTCACTACAGTATCAAACAGTATAAAAAGCTTAGTCAAGACTGGAGTTGTAGTAAGGTAGAAGTCCAACTAGACATTTTAACAACTGATTGCTCTGTTTCTGAATGAAGCTAACTATTTTAGGACTCTTGCTCCATCTTTTTCTTGCATAGATATCTTACTCTGGCAAAAGCACTATTTAATGTTACTCTGAATATGCCCAGGGTGAAGAACCTGGTACATTAGGTGCTGGAGTCTTGCAGTTGTATAGGAATCTGCTGCTTCCCTGAAAATATGGTGCACTAAGTAAATGCAAAGAAGCATGACGGGGAAGCAAACAGTCAAGGAAAGTTGAGCTTCATAAAATATAGCAGTCAGGTTAAAGCTATCATGACACTGCAAAACAGGGACAGGTTAAAAGATTTTAGTGTTTGTGGCCTGGTGTGACTGAAAAGACAAGTGGTGAAAAAATAAGCAGATAAGCAGAGACAAAGAGATCAGAGAAAGATCACCAGAATGGTGACCAGCAAAGAAAACAAACACAGAACACTAAAAAAAAAAAAAAAAAAAAAAAAAAAAAAAAAAAAAAAAAAAAAAAAAAAAAAAAAAAAAAGACAATCCTAGCAAAAAGTGAGACCTCAGAGCTTTGAAAAACTGTGGCTGCCAGGACAGCAAGCATCAAACTCGAGACATCCATGTGAAACTTACTTTAATTAATTTTTCTTTTGCCATTATGTATACATTTTCTTGCCTAAAAATTTTTGTTCAAGTCTCTCTAGCTTTTAATACCAAAAACCTTTCTCCTCAAATGTAATTTATTAAAGTGGCTAGCCTCTACAACTCCTAGACAGGAAATAAAAATGAAGCCCTTACCATGATGCATAGATAGAAATCAGACCACAGACAACCCATCTTATCACTCACAGTTTGTAGTGACTCATAGTACGTGGACATTTTTGACAATTTATCATAATTTAGCATGCAGAGCCCACTGTCACAAGATGGATGCAAGGACCTATATCATTCATTCCAGGAGGAATGTCACATGCAACAAGGATGACTGTCCAACCTACTCAACTCTTACTAGTAAAAAGACAACTGATTCTGATGGAAGCTGTGGCCAAAAGTGATGATCAGAGCTTACTACCAAAGCTACAACAGGTCCAATGAGTTTTTAAAAGCCTGTACTACAGCATCTTGGGCCACAGTATTCCAGGTGCCCCGAATGTTGTATAAACTGTTTTCAGCAACTTGGAAAAATGTGTGATGTTTTTTTTTTTTGGTTTTTTTTTTTTTTTTTTTTTTTTTTTTTTTTTTTTTTTTTTTTTTTTTTTTTTTTGCTTTAACCTATTTTTGCTACAGCTTGGGCTTCTATTCAATACATGCTTCTTTCAAGGTATACAACTATAGCTATTATAGTTACTATAAATTATTAAACCTACAGCATATTACTTAATCTCTTCTTTTGAGCAACTATTAAAAACCAACATTTGAAATGCTACACTCCTCTCAATTTTTCTGCAGTGATTGGCAGAAATTGATGAACTCTGCAGAACTCTCAGATTGCTGAAAACAATTCTGTGAAGTACTGGTACTCTGCTGAAAAATTCTGTGACAGCTAAACTTTTATTGCATGCTTCTGCCAAGTGAAACATGTTTCAGAACAGATTTAAAGAAACAAAAATAAAATAAAAATCTGAACTGTCTGTTCACTAAAAAAATAAGATCATATATAACATTCAGAAGATGTATATATGAACCTGCTACTTGAGGGTAAGTGAAAGGATGAAAACATCATTGAGAATATCTACCTGTGTGTGCCTGCATCTCCTTCACAGGACATGGTCACAACCCCTTACTTGTGCCCCACAGAGAGGCAACTTTTTGTCAAATTCCACCCAGAGCCTCCTAGATTTTTATTTTATAGTCAGACTCTCTGGGTTTAAGATCATGTGTTGAAATGCAAGGAGATGGGGATATGCACAATTAGCAATAAAACAGCAACCATATTATAATATACAACATAAGACCATGGTAATACAGAATACTACGGCATACTGTGATGCATATTACATATGGGCAGATGGGAAGGATTTAATTTCTGTATTACTTTTCCCATCTGTAAAAAGGTGATAATAGCTTTCTTACAAGAAGGCTATGAGTTTAGCACAGTAATGCAGGTAAAGCAGCCTGATATCCTTAGGTGTTACCACTGTTAAGGTGAAAGTGATGCTGTGTTCACCAACCTGTAAATTTCTCTTAAATTGCTGTCAAAGAGCATCTAGATTACTTTATAACAATGTTTCTTTCATTACTTTAAATACAGAGAAACTGTTCCAGGTCAATACACTTAAAGCACTCAAAGCAAAAGCCTAGTAAAATATTCCTCATGTGTGCTTTTTATGTATAGCTGGGTAAGCAAAAAGAAGTGTTAGGTTTTATTTTTTTAATCAAATATTTAAGTTTCAAATACAATGAGAACTCTACCTTAAATCTCTGGTTATTCAGATTAATGCCCTAGAAAGTCTATGAAGCCTTTCACTCCAAGCCAAATAAAAATCAGGACTAAAAACAACTAGGACAGTATAACATACAAAATTCCACTCATTCTGCCACTAGATGCTACACAGATGCAGAGTGCTAAGTGATATTTAAAAGAAATTAAATTACTATAGGTAGATGATGACATATGTGAATACCAAACTGGAATTATAAAGATCAAGAAAAAACACCATTCATTGTTACAGTTTATTTAACTGGAAACTGTTACGTGGTTACTTGCAGTAAACTTTGTGGATATAATAAATCCATTTACAGGGGATGCTGGTCCCATGCAGCTGGCAATTCTTTACTGGTAATGTTACTGTATATTACATTAGAAGTAGCTTCAAAAGAAGGTCAGTTTCATCATCACCTTTTCTTACCATGGAAATCCATGAAGACATTAAAAAAAAAGAGGCTCCTGGGGGTCAGCTGAGAGAAAAATCAAAGTAGAATGCAGGTTCTGGAAAACACCAGCCTAATACACTGTAGGCCCAACCTGTATTATAAATGTACTGTGACCAAAAAAGAGCTGAAAATTTACTTTCAGAGTACTATTGGCATGAAAATATTCAGAACAGCATAGTTTAATCTAATACTCAAAGAGAAAAGCATTATTAAAAGATGCTATATCAACACAAATCAATAACAAACTTACTTTTACGTCTAAGACATGCAGCTCAACTCTAACATTGCTTTCATCTTCTGTAAACATCTCAATTCTGTTCACGTGGCTGAAGTCTGCCAGGAGAGCCACAAGATTTGTTTTGGTGTTTATCACATGGCTGATTCCGTACCGCGGCCCTACTAACAGAGTCACTTCTGAACGCTTTTCTCCCTGCTTTAGCAGAAAAAGAAAGAAAACTCAAGTAAAAACCATGATAGGTACTGCATAGTGACAGAAATCATCACTCCCTTCTTTCAGTTACACAGAGTTACATTTGCACGGCATTTCTACATTAAAGATTATTATGTTTTCACTAGATAGATACGATACACAAGAGCATACTTAAGTAATAATTTTTAAAAAAGTAAAGGAATTTCTTGCTGTATGTTGATTGCACTCTAGATTTTAGGTGGATAGTTAGATGGACAGACGATGGATGGACTCTGCTTCTGTTAAAAGAAAAACTTGGTCATTAAGATTTTTCCAGACTAACAGTTTTAGCATTCAATAGATAATTGGATGGTGTTATTTGCTAAGAAAGTGCTATCTATCTCCAAATTCCCAGTACAATTTTTATTATGAAATATATGCTATTTTCAAGATTAAAAGAAACAAAAAGTGATTTGGTTCAATTAAAAATTATTTGAAAGCATATGAATAGAACTTAAACTTCTAAAGAAAATTATATGATCCAGCTTTTGAAAATAAAAAAAGGCATCAGATTAAAAAAAAAATCAAGAGAAGAGACTATTTTAAGAGAAATGTTACCACTAGTGTTGCCTTGAAGACACGCCCTCCATATAATCGTAGATCACTGAGGAACTTTAGATAATGCACCTTGGCTTGCAGAGCAGAGAGCTGAGAAAGGTGAAACAGGGATAAGAGGTAGTTGTGGAAATCATTACATTATAATAAAATTCCAAATGAAAATATATTTGTGTAGTATAAAGAGAATGGTCTGCAATAACAGCTCTTTGGAGCCTGAAACTAAATCTTGAGATGCTTGAGCATCAGATGACGTGAAACAGTCTCATTCTTAAAATTAATATCTTGCTTGTTTAGTTAAAATGCACTGAGGACTTGGGAATGGGCTGATCAGAGCACTTCAAGAACATCCTAACTGCTTTAATGGAGGGAAAACGTTAAAGTACTCAGATTAAACATCTGTTCACTGAGGGATTTCAAGGCTAAAACAGCAGCTTTCCATTCATAAATTCCATCAGTTCTTAAATGTTTATATACCTATACAGAGAAAGAGAATGAAGAATTTGCATTTGTCAGCTATGTATTTTACATTTTGCTAGGTACTTGTGGTGTTGGGCATATTATTCCACTTTTTTACTTTATTCCCTACTTTCTAAAATAACACTCTTCCACTATACTCAGCAGGTAATAAATCAGAAAGCTAAAAACAGCACATGAATACATATGATCAAGTCATGTAATATATGTCAGAATTTGTCTCCTCTTTTTCTCCTCTGAGCTTAAACTATCTACTTAAAAAAGAAAACTTGGAAATATTTTATGAGACAGAAGGAAAACAAGAAACAGTTAATTTCACCAGTCTGAATCCAAACCTTAAACTTCCCTTGTGTAAATCCTTGCAACTGGACGTTTAGAAGATAATACAAAACAGTCTCATATAATTTGCTCGTTTCATTCCAGTCACTGGATTTCTAATTCAAAAATCTTATTTAATCTTGAGCAGCATTTTAAGGGCTCCTATCCTAAATTTTTCTTAGACAACATGGAGGAAATGGATCCAAAGCAGAGTGAACAGTGGCAATTCTTTGCCCTTTGCTGCACCAGGTGTTCACTTGGTGCAGAAATACACAAGGGTTGTAAAAAAACAGGAGAATCCTGAGAATTACAAGATTCCCTTCATGAAAAGGAATAGAAGACCCCTGAGAAAGAAATGAGTCAGTTCCTGTGGTGGTACCTACAAGTAAAAAGGTGATGAAAAGATGGTTTCTTTTTAAGACCTACCTGCTAAGAAAGCAGGTTGGCACACATGCATTTCCAAAGCTCAAATAAAAAAGAATGAAGCAAACCCAACAAAGTCTGCTTGCTTCAGGAAGGAACTGTTGCAATACCTCTAACCAAGAACTGATACTGGTATGCCACTGTAAGACATATTTCACACTGGTAAGGGCCGCAGCAGTGATGGCTTCCAAAATAAATCCAAATTTGTACTACCAAAATATATAATAAGCAATTGGCATAATTTAGCTTTGGTTTCAGAAGCATAGGAGACATGCACTGCTTCAGCTATGTTCACACTCACGATGTGTTCTGAAACCTCCAAGCAGGATTTCTGCTGATGACAATGAGCCTTAGCTCAGGCACCAGCTGTTTTGATGTTTTTTTGGTTCAGAAACAAAGTGTCATGAAGCAGGATTCAGCTCATTTTATGCCTCGGCTAGTTACTCTCAGGTTCTTTCTATAGTCCATGAAGAGACATAAGCATTTCTAGGACACAAGCAATCTGACCTATTTCTCTCCCTGAATGTGGGATGGGATGAATGGCTCCCTGGAAGTGCCTATTTCTCTCCATTGACTACACATGAGAAGATGACCTGCACTAAGAAACCACATTAAGGTGTCTACAACCAGACTCAGCTGCATGCATGTAACAAAGGCATTTCTCAGAGACATTGTCTTATCCATGTTTTTTCCAGCTGAAGTGAAAGTTTAGTGCTAAGAAAAGTATTTTACAACAGCAAGGAAGGTCATTTACTGCAAGAAACATCATCTATCCAGTTAGATCATGGCCAGTGAAAAGTCTTTCTCTACAGTGTAATAAAGAACAATCTGAAAAACAGCATTTATGTTAGATGACAGCGTCAGAGTGAAAACAAAAACTTTCCTAGCAAATCTGCCATTCATAGAAAGTGCAAGTTAATTAAAAAAATCTATATATGGTTATCATATATGAGATATTAATAACCAGTTCTCTGTCATTCTCAAGAAAATAAGATAGTTTCGCTGGGAAATAATTAAGTATTTTTAATAGTTCTTGGCTATGTTGCACCAGCACCCAAAGTTACATCTCTGCAAATAAAGTGGCTAGGTGTTTCTCCAAAAGATTAGCTTTAAATGTGTCCCATGCATGCCATACTTTTGTTCTTTAAAACATATTTTCCATTAAGATGCAAATGCAATACCTTTTTGCCTGGAGGAACTAGGTTTTGATTTGCTTTGACAAGGTGGGAAAGTGCTTTCTTTATGTTCTTTTCCTTCATGCTTTGCAGCACAGCAGATGGAAGAAAAGTCTCTAATCCCCATTCTTTTCTGTAATAAAAGGCATATATTTAATTTCACATTCCTGTGATGATTATTTATCTAAAGACTGGTGACTACGATGCCGAGTGAATGATTACCTGAAAACAGAAGGAGAGTTGATCAAGTCCAGAGTTTTGCAGTAACATGTTATTTCCAAAATTTAACAATTTATTCCTAATGGTATTTTAAAATGTTAAATAATCTCTTTTCCACCCCTTCCATCTCTTCAGTCATGCCATTCAGAAAAGAATGTTTAAGTTTGATATCTAAAGTCTATGTTAAACACCACTTAATTACAATGACAAGCATGATTGCAGAATTAAAATAGCAGATAATTTAATAATGCAATGTCATATTTAATTTTATTTTATTGGTTTCTTTTAGAACATGGAAATCAGAGCCTTTTTATTGTCACCTTTATGTTTGGAGGTCTGGGGGGAGGGCTGGGTCATCCTCAAATGCAACCGGTTTGCCTCCATTTACCAAATTCTTTTTCTGCTTGAAGCACAACCTTTGACAGAAGACTGACTTCACTTGTAAATCACTACTTTTGCAGATTCATTAATAAGACAGGATATAACATTGTCTTCAATGTGATGGATAAACTCTTCAAAACAGAGTGTGTAATAGTTATTGTTTCTATTCTGCAAGCAAACTAGGCAACAGCAACAAAAGTTTTGGGACTTGGGGTTTTTATTTTGTTGTGGGGTTTTTGTTGCCCTGTTTTT